GCTGCAGGACCAGGCTGAGAGGGATGTGCCAAGGAGGAAGCTGGGCTCAGGGCTTCTCCTACCCAATACTGGAGCCCCTCCTGGGCTGGGAAGTTGGAACCTCAGCCTGGGGCATCTCCTCCTGGGGGCTCTGCTGGGAAGTGGGCAGTAGGGTGGCAGTGGGGAGGGGTCCTTCTTCTCTCTTGGCAGGTGGACACTCAGGAGGCAGGGACACTGCATCCCCTAGAGGAAGAGGTCTGTTCAGCCTGGGGGTGTGAGAGTCAAGAGAGGAGACTCATCCTGGATCCCTGAGCAAATCTGAGTTTGCAGCTGTGCCCTGCACTGGGGGCCTGTAGGTGGCTGGTAGTGAACCCTGGGGGTGCAGCCCCAGGTGTCATCAGGTGGGGAGTGCAGGGGCTGGGGTTTCCCAGGGAAGGGAGGGTCTGTGTGGGAGAGAAACATTAGTTCTTTCTCACTCCCAGGAACCACCCCTGAACTCACCTCCCCACCCACAGGAGCAGGCTCCCAAAATGTTAAGTCCCCAAGAGAGAGTGCCCAGGGGGAGTGGTCAAAGGGACAAGTCCTGTCTATGGAGTAGAAGCCCCTGTCTCATAGGTCCTGGGCTTGGCCAGGTCTTGCCTGCCTGTCAGTGACGCCCTGTCCTCTGATTCCAGACCCCACCTCCTTGAATTACACTGTGGGGAACTATGTTCACATGGGCCTATCTGGTGTGGTGTTGCTGATCCTGGTGGTGATTCTGGCAGAGGCTGGGCACAGCTGGCACAGGTGGCCACACCCCCCACAGGACTGGAGACAAGAAAGTGAACACCAGAGGAATTAGACTCCAGACCCCAGGAGGACCCCCCAACCCAGTGCCCCAGGCTCCCACTGGAGCCTAAGAGACCCAGAGCCTCACCCATTCTGTGAGTTTCACAGTGAAGTTGGTGAGGTTGCCCTGTGCACGGGACTCTGTCCTGGGAAGTGTGCAGGAGCAGCAGGGACCAGGCCTCCTGTGTGGTCTGGTTCCTTCTCCAGGGTTTGGCTCCAGACCTGACCCTCACCCACTCACAGCCCTGCCCCACTCCTGCTCAGGTCTTCCTTCTCTCCCGGATCTCAGACAGGCCCCAGGTCCCTGCAGCCTCTGCCTCCCTCTTCCTCCTCCTGGAGCCCTGGTTTCTCACCTGCTTTCTGAGGACCGGGCATGTGCTGCTGAAGACTTTGGTCTTGCCCACACCTATCACCTGTGGAACTGCACCTGCTCTTGGCCCCTGCTCACCCACCTCTGTTCCTGGGATGGTCTCTGCCTCCTGCATCTGTCCCCTTGCGTCCCAGCTGACTTGGATCTAATGTCCAGAGAAGGCACATGGACCAAAACCACAGTGAGATATCACCTCACACTCTACAGGAGAACTATTGTTAAAGTTATTTTTAAGTGGTGGGCACTAGACTTACTGGGGGGATCACCTCATAAAGTATGTAAATGTCTAACCCTGTGCTGTACACTTGAAAAAATTTACTCTGTTTCGACTGTAATTGAAGAATAAATTAAACATACTAATCTAAAAACAGCGAGTGTGGCAAGGCTGTGGAGGAGCGGGAGCCCCTGGGCCCCCTGCTGGCGACGCAAAGTGGTGCAGCCTCTAAGCGGATCTGCAGGGCTGTTCCTCAGAACTTGAACAGGGAATCTCCCTACATCCTGCAGCCCCAGGCAGGGTTCCCATGCAGGGAAGTGAGAGCAGGGACTGGACATCTGTATATGCACCCCCAGGACAGCGTGACTCACAAAAGTCAAGGGCATCATAGGCTCCTCAGAGATGGAGGAGGAAGCAGACACTGGGTTCGTGTGACGCCTCCTGAGAAGGTCCCACTGGCTTTGAAGACAAGGGAGGATGGGGCCCTGTGTCACAGAATTCGGGGTCTCTAGATCCTGGAAGACAAGGGAGGGACTCTCCCTGAAACCTCCAGGGGAGAAGGTAGCCCTGCAGACACCTCGAGGTCAGCCCGTTGACTCCCGACTTCCCACATGCTGAGATCACACATCAGGGGAGCTGTGAGCCACCATGCTGGTGCTCATTTGTCACAGCAGCGAGGGGAATCTCAGGAACCTGGGGTCCTGTGGCCCTACACTCTGGGGTCACAGGATGCCCCGAAGTTCTGGAAACCAAGGCTGGGGTTTCCTGTGAAGCCTCTGACCTTGCCCCCTGACCCTTCACCCAAACTGGCCCACCCGAGTCAGACGTCCAGCCGGGCACACCATGGGCTCAGGTCTGGGGTGACAGGGCTTGATTCTGAGATGCCGAGTGTGTGGCTGCGCTGCACCCGCGCTGGGTCCCTGTGCGGCAGGGCCCAGACTGGAGGGCCAGTCACCTGGTTTCCTACAGAGCAGGCCTGGCCAGGGAGACTCCCGCCCTCTTGTCCTCGCAGGGACAGTACCCTGGGAGGGGAGGCTCTCTTGGCGCTCACTGAGGCTCCTCCTCTCCAGGGATGTGGGGGCCCTTCTCTGCTCTGGATCTGAGCCAGTCCCGGGGAGGGAGGGGTTCCTCCAGGGCAGCGCACTGCCTGCAAGGTGCCTGTGTCCTGCTGGGAGCAGGACCCTCCTCCCTTTGAGATGCTGCTCAGCTCCCCAGACTTGTCTGCAGAAGGGCCTTTCCCGCTGTGCTTTCTGAGACATCCGCACTCCTTAGCTGGGCCCCGTCGCGCTGTGTAGAATGACAGGGAGCCCCTGTCCATCTGTGCTCTTGCCCTGGACCAGGGGCCCCCACAGTCTTGGGTCCCTTTCATTGGGAACAATATTTCGAAAGCATTACCTGGGGTTATGTGAACCGAGGACTACTGAAGTTTTGTTCTGTATGGACCACTTAGTATCAGGGAGGATGCATTGTGTCCATCTACACAGGTATCTCCCACCTGGTGTAACATTACAGGTTCACTTATGTTGTACCTGTGCCCCTTTTATGAAAACTCAAATCCTGGCAAATTCATAGATTTCCTATTTTTTTTTTTGGTTTAACCCTGTAGCTATTGTGATTGAATATCAATAAGCTCATATTTATTTTTGTTTCTTTATATTTATGTCAGAGTATGATGTTTCATCTTTTATGACTTTATTGGGTCTTGAATATGTAGAATATTTTCAGGTTTCAGATGTTAGAGCTGCAAAAAGTAGTACAATCAGAGATGAACACTTGATTCTCTCCCCTTCCCCTTGTACCTGCACGTATTGGAGGTGAGTATTTTTGTTAGTTCTGGTTTGCAGAATGAAAAAATAATAAATGAAAAATAGGTAAGCAGACACAAGATCTTATTTTACCTCCTTTATGTTTTTTAATTGTATTTATTTATTTTTAGAAAGAGAGGCAATGAAGGAGAAAGAGAGGAAGAGAAACATCAATGTGTGGTTGTCTCTCACATGCTCTCTACTGGGGACCTGGCTTGTAACCCAGGCTTCTGCCCTGAGTGGGAATTGAACCTGTGACCACTTCCTTCAAATGAGGCCAGCACCCAATCCCCTGAGCCACACCAGCCATGGCTGTGTGTATCTTCTTCATCCATTGATGAGCACCTAGATGGATTCCAGAGCTTGGCTATTGTGAATAATGTTGCAATAAACATGGCAATAGTTTTATGTCTTGGGTACCTTGTTTCCGTTTCCTTTGGATATACAGACAGAATTAAATGGCTGAATGCTATGACTGGCTTATATGTTTAATTTTTTGAGGATCCTCCATACTGTTTTCCATAGTGTCAGGAAGCATCACAGGTAAACCCCACACCTACTCTGGACACGTTGGGGCCTTTCTGCCTTAAACACAAGGCTCACCAGAGTGCTGTTATCTTGGCATCATTTAGAGAACAGAAGCAATCCAGCATCCCACCTTCCCGTCCCCCACACTCAGGAGAGAGCTGCTAAGGGCTCTTGTCTTCAAGTGGGTGCAGGAAGTTGTAGGAGACTTGGTGGATCTGTGGCCCACGAGCGTCTGGAGAGGTCTCAGGGCCAGCATGTCTCTCTCCTGCCCCATGGAATGCAGCCCAGGCAGCCCCCAGCTCCAGGACACCACATGGGGTGTGATTTCAAAGCCACTTCCCTCTTGATGTTCCCATAAAGGCAGTGTTGGCTGCAACACGATAGGAAGAACCAACAGCTCTTCAGAAAATAAAAGACTGTATGCCACACGACAGCTTGAACTCTCAATGCTGCTTTGTTCCCTTAAGAATTCTGTAGGAACTCAGCCCCCAGACTTCCTCCCAAAGAGGACGGATGCTGGGGGTGGGAGGAAGGAAGCAGCTGGGGACAGTCCCCAAACTAAAGGGATGAGAAGTGGACACTGCCCATCATGTCCCCTTCCCCAATCCAGTCCCAGGACCTGAGTAACTGTGAGCTTCCGCATCATTTTAAATTAAAAATATTTCATTTAGTAAAAAATATTTCAAGAGCCTAAGGGATAGCAGATATAAATATGTGTTTACTGATCTCCCCTTCGCTTTCATTCTCAGTGAAGACAGAAAGCACAGGTTTGCGATGGGGCAGGGCTGCCAGGGGGCAGAATGAGTTGTGGGGAGGATGCGGGAATTGTCAGGACACTTCCTCATCTCCTCGTTCATCAGTTCCATTTGAGGGGAAAAATGAGGAAAAGAAACCAACAAAAAGACAGACAGGTACAGGGACACATTCCTGAAGTACAATTCCTAGTCCCACTTGCTGACCTACAAGTCTAGCCTGTCTTTAACCTCAGTGGACCCTGAGGTCACCATGAAGCTGAGACTGAAGCTTCAGAAGGAAGATCATTCCCTAGAGAGTGCTCTGGGATCCTGCAGACAGGCCACCTAGTGACCCCATTCCTGCTGAGTGAGCCCCGCACACGGGTGCCATCTGCCTCGCTGGTGCAGCTCCCAGCAGTCTCTGTCAGTTCCTATAACATGATGTACCCAAACTGCACTGAGAACGGTCTGGAGCTAGGTCTTCCTCTTTGCAGGAGGACGTTGATGCAGCAACCCTGGGAAAACCCCTGACCCATGCTTCCCGTCCAATGTGTCAGCTGCAGGCTCTGTCCTTCACTCTGCAGCTCCAGGACGGTGCAGCCTGCAGGTCTCACCATGGGCCCCCATCCCACTTCCCTCCTGGTCCTCGGTGAGTGCTGGAATGAAGGGATAATGTCCTGGGACAGAGGGGGTGGGAACCTGGGAAGGCATCTCCATCACTTTTGAGCCCTGACTCCAGCCCAGGAGACTCCTGGTGTTTCCTGGGAGACTGGCCCCTCAACTCTGGCCCTGACCCAAGTCTGACCTTGGAAGGTTGAGCCCTAGAAGCGGGTATCTGGGTGTGGGGACAGGTTCAGACTGAGTACCTGCTGGGAGAGGGGATTGGGGCTTTGTTGAAACTCAGAGCCAGAAGAAGGGCTGTGCTCAGAAGTAACGCTGAGGAGGGAGCTGGACATTCTTGGGGGCTGAGCCCTGCCTCCATCAGGGTCCCTGAGTGCTACCCTGGGAGGGGTCCACGTCCAGGGTGTTTCTCTCACCACAGCTTCTCTTCCAGTGCTCTGCCTGGGCCAGACCATCCACATGGAGAACAGTAAGTCTTCCTTTTTAAGCTCACTTTTTAATATATGTTGTGTTTTATGGCAAAGTATTAATGTTCCTTAGAGTCCTCCAATGGCTTATCTTCAGCTGGGATGAGACCCAGGCCCCTCTCTCAGTCTGGATGGGTCTGTTCTCACGCTGTCTGACCCACTGATGTGCTGAGACCCAGCCTTCCATTCACTTGCACAAACATATTGTCCTACTCGCTTGACCCCGTCCCCTCCCCAGCAGACATCTTCTCTCACTGGGTTTGGCTGGTTCACAGTTGGCCTCCGGGTCTCAGCTCAGTGCCTCTTCCCTCTGACTCTCAGAGGAGGTCAGTTGTCAGTCATCTGCCCTGAGACCCTCACACTCACACAGGGTGCTTGTCGCCCACCACGTGTGGCTGTGGATTTGCATGATCAATTCATCATCCTCTGTGCTCCATCTTCCCTGCAGACAAGGGGCAGGTCCTTGTGTGTGAGTCTCATGTTTGTGGGGCCAGTGGCACATGGGAACCTCTGTAGATGGATGGAGGGGAACTAGGATGTGGATGAAAGAATGAGGGAGGGAGGGAGTGAATGAATGAGTGGGGAGCCCTGGCCAGCGCCTGTTTCTGTCGGGGATCATGTGCTGTGGTGCCATCTTCCTGTTTCAGCTATACCAGCCCTCACTTCCCCCTCCCTGGCCATGTGGCACACATGTATTTCCAGGACCCCCAATACTAGAAATGGGAACAGGATGCAAGGAAGGTAGAGAATGCAGTGGGAACACAGGTGAGTGCTGTTCAGAGGATTGCCCTGGAGTCAGGAATCACCACCCACTTGGGTCATGTGATCAGATATTGGTAGAGGTCTACTCTCCCACCCTCCCGCCCCCGGGGACTAGTAGGGGAGCTCTGCAGCTCCCATTGGTCCCCACAGTGTTACCCAACTGCCCTTCAGACCCGGCCCAGTTCACTCCCACATGTCAGACTCTTGCTTCCCTGTTCCCACAGGTGATCTCTCACTCTCATCCTCTGCCCCCCTCCCAGAGTCTCTGTCCCTTAAAGAGCAGTCATGGGCAGAAAGACATGCCTAGAACCCCAGCCTGCCTTGACACCTCCAGTGTCACCCTGAGAAAAGCCCAACATGTGACTCGGACTCAGGGTCCTGTGTCAGGGGGTCACTCTGCAGTGATGCCGATTCTCTGTCACCTGGAGTGGTTGTGGGCAGTGGTGTTTGGGGAAAAAATGGTGGGATGTTATAAATTGGGTTGTAGGAATGGTTGCACAGCACTGTAAGTTTGCTAAAAATATGGAAGTGAACTCAGAAAATAGGGGACTGTGAGTGTGGTGACTTCCCTCTGAGGGATCCTGAGATCTGCTCTGCCTCCTCCCAGGGGTCCTGCCCAAACCCTTCATCAGGGCCGAGCCAGGACCTGTGATCATCTGGGGACAGCCTGTGACCATCGTGTGCAGGGGCCCAGCCTGGGCTGACACATTCCGTCTGGAGGAGCAGAATGGAAGATCTGTCTACAAGGATCAGACAACCATGTCTCAGCGTGGTTCACACTGGACAGAGGCCACATTCCACATTGACATGGGGAATGAATTCACTGCTGGGAGGTATTTCTGCCACTACTTGAAAGGGTCCAAATGGTCTGAGCACAGTGAGATCCTGGAGCTGAAGGTGACAGGTGAGGACGTCTCCACTCTACCCTCAGGTTTGCCCCAGGCCCCTGCACCCTGTCCCCACCACCATCCTCTGTTCCAGGCTCCCTGCCCTCCTGCTGGCCCCCAGCCCTGTAGCTCCCATGCCCCTCTGCACTCATTTCCTTTGGTCTTCACACCTGACTCAGGGCCCTGAGCTCTGGACCCTTCCTGACTCCACGACAGCCAGGACACTGAGCCTGGCAATGTTGTGGACACAGAGCTGTCCCTGCAGGGCTGGGTGGGGAGTGGACTCCCAGAGGTCAGTTGGAAACAGACCCCCTTTGGTGAGACAGGTTTCACACCCCACAGGATGGTGTTTTACTGTCCTTTTTCCTGGGCCAGACTTGTTGGGGCACCAGGTAATATGTCCTGTATGCATGATTGATCCTTTTTGGAAAGTCATGTGGTCCAGGGGCCATGACCAGGTGTGAATGTTGCTTTGCAGAATTTGGGGTTGAAGCTGTGTTTACCAGTGTGTTCAGGCCTGAGATGTCCTGGACTTAGAGTCCACCAGGGACACTCTGACCCCTTCCATGTGCTCCTGGGTTTCACAGGATCAATTCCTTGCTGACTCATGGGGTGAGGAGCAGCATGGTGGTGGGAGGTGAGAGGAGTGACCACTTGCCCTCAGCAGAACTGAGTAGGGGGCTCTCCCTGACTCTTGCCCCCCATTTCTCAGGAATGTGAGGAGTCATCTGGGACTGAGTGATGGACTGATGTGGCCTGTGGGTGGACGATCAGGGTGGAGAGGGGCCAGGCTGATTGGGAAGGAACCCAGGCAGCTCCCATATAGTATCAGCCTTCTCCTGCCCTGTTCACAGGAGCCCCCAGAGTCATCAGCTCCACTCCAACCACACTCACAAAGCCCCCCTCCACAGCTGGTGAGTAGAGATTTCAGAGCAGAGGGGTTTTGGGGGTCTCTGTGCTTGGGAACAGTTTCTGGGGTCCAACCCACTGCCCTGGGCTAAGAGAGTCAGAGACAGCCATATACCATATGACCTCACTTCTGTGTGGAGTCTAATGAACAAAATAATGTAACAAACAAAGTAGAAACACAGGCACAGATACACAGAACAGAATGACAGCTGTCAGATGAGAGGGGTTGGGGACTGGGTGAACAGGGTGAAGGATTAATTTTAAAAAATTTACATATACGTATATATATAAGTATACACGTATATACATATATGTACTTGATGCATAGACACATTTATTTAACTTCAATATCAATGGATTCAATAAAATGTGGTTACCAATTTGGACAGAACTGACATACAGTATTTCCATCCTCAAAGAAAGTTTCACCAGCAGAGCGACACTGGAGAGAACAGGTGAGGGTCCCAGAGCCAGGGAGACCCCATGGGTGGGGAGCAGGGACACTCAGAGCCTCCTCTGCCCAGCTCTGGCCTTCGATGCATGTCCCCCTGATTCCTCACTCCTAGGTCACATGCAGACAAATTCCCTGGACACTAAGACGAGCAGTGAGTGATGGGGGTCAGAGGGCCATGGACCTGGAGTCTGCTTCTTGGGGGAGGGAAAGAATGGGTCTTGGTGTCCATCACATTCCAGCTACCCCATCTTTCTGTGGACAGGGGACATCCACACTCAGGACCCCTGTTTGTAAAATGGAGGTGATGGTTCCCATGTGGCAGGACTCTGAGGCATGTGAGAGATTATCCATGTGGGTGAGAACATGCCAAGCCCCCAGCACAGGCATGGTATGCAGGAGGTGCTCAGTAAATGCACACTGCTAATATCCTTGATTCCATCTCCCCTGGTCCCCCAGTTCTGTCACCAGAGCATCTTTATATTCTTGTTGGGATCTGTGTGGCCTCTCTGCTTTGTCTCCTCCTCCTGGCCCTCCTCTTAGTCCACCATCATCGTCAGAAAAAACGTGGTGAGTTTCAGGGTCAGGGTGAGGTCATGTGGGAAGGCATTTGGGGTGCTGGGAAGGCAACATCCCTCCTAATTCACATCCCTGACTGTCCTCAGGGCTCCCCAGCAGCAAGGATGAGGAACCAAGGCCCCAGGAGAGGTAAGAGCCCCCTGGGAGTGACCATGCATCCCCTCTTCCAGTTCTCTGCCTCCAGGTGCCCCCCCACCGCCCACCATGCTTACCTGTTCTTTCTCCTCAGGCTCAGCCCAACAGATGACCTCAAAGAGAGCTCAGCAGGTAAAGGGACAAGGAGAGGGGACCTCTTGGGAGGAGGGCAATGACATTCAGTGCCATTCCAGAAGCAGTGGGGGTGGGTGGGTATCTGGGAACATTGTAGGCTCTTCTGGAGGAGGAGGGTATGAAATCGGACCCTGTGAATTCTCAGGCGCATTTGGCTTCAAAGGTCCACCCCCAAGAGCTGACCACTGTTCTCTCCCCTCCAGATGTGGCCACCATAGTGGATGCACTTCCTGAGGAAAATGGAGACATGCACAGCCCAGTGAGTCCTTGTATTTGCCACTGGTTTCTGGGTAGCAGAGCACCCCCACCTTAACAGGTTCACAAAATCATCCCAGCGTCCTGGGTGAGGATTTGGAAGCAGATGGAATGTGCTGGGTGGTGCTGGCTCATGGACTCTTGTGAGGTTGCTGTGCAGACGACGAGGACTGTGTCCAGCTGAAGGCTAGACCTGGGCTGCATGGTCCACATGTAGGGTGGCACCCCTGCAGGGGTGGGGGTGGGAGGCCTCAGTTCCTCTGGGGGTGGGTGGGCTCCTTCATGGCAGCTTGCCCTCCCAGAGGGAGAGATGCCAGAGTGGATGGGCTGAAGCCACAGTGTGTTTTCTGGCCACTCCTTGGAGGTGACAGGCCCTCACTTCTGCCATGTTCTGTTGGTCACAGAGACCAACTCTGACTTTGTGTGGAAGGAGGCCACACAATGGAGATTTGGGAGGTGGCATCACAGAGCCCACATGGAGGCTGTCTTTCCAGTCTTTCCTTCCCACAGCCCCCACCCCCCAGCCTCGGCCACACTAACTTAGTCTGGGTCTGTCCCTCAGAGCCCTGCTGCAGGAGACCCCGAGGAGGTGACATATGCCCAGCTGGACCAGCAGGCCCTCACATGGAGAGCAGCTCGCACCGAGTCCCCACAGCCCATGGAACCCACAGCTGAGTCCAGCATGTATGCAGCCTTCCCCAGACACTGACTTCAGGACCACCTAGCCTCTGCACCTCGAGACACAGGACACCACTCTTGCAGAGGCTTGTAGCAGCCACTTGGAGGACTTCCCTGTTAAACCATCTCCTTCCTGAAAGTCATCAACACATTTTTGCTGGAGGCAAGACCTGGACTTCGGGGACCCCTACTGAACATGCAGGAGGTTCACTAACCAGGTGGCTCCTCCTACAACCCACCAGATTGGAGAAGCACAGTTGTAATACTTGTTTCCAGAGACCCAGCTACTGGCATCTGGCTGTTTCCAGAGACCCAACTAATGTTGTCAGGCAGTTTCCAGATACCCATCTAATGTCCAGCAGTTTTCAGATACCCATCTAACGTCCAGCAGTTTCCAGAGATGCAGCTAATGTTGCCCAGCTGTTTTCAGCAGACCCCGCTTGCTGGTCAAACTGGCTGCCCCATCAGGTTACAAGGAGTCTTTACCCTGAGAACCTCTAGGGGGTGCAAGTGTCTCCTTCAGATAATTTAGCTTTTTAAATAGAAAGAAGAAACTTGCATGCTTGTTACAGGCCTGGTATTAAAAATGTTATTCTATATTAAAAGAACATTTTAAAAGTTCAGACAAAACTCAGCCAGGTCTTTTAAACACTCAATTGCTACTTAAGTTCTGCAAAATATTAGCATATCAAATTCTGGTTCAAAGCCCCCATGGTACCTGCAATCTCTCCTCTGTCTTGATTTTTTAAAACTAGGCTCTGAAACACTCACTAACTTGGCCAAGGTTGGCTACCTCTGACCTCAGGAGAGAAAAACATCTCACTATCCAGGAGGTTTCTGTCCTGGCTCAGAGAGGGTGGGTGTCCAGCCTTCCTCCTCAATTTTAAATTATACTGATCTTTCATGAGCCATTTCTACTCAGGGGTGATTTTCCTCCAGGAATTTGCTTTCCAATTCTCTATTTTTATCTTTATTGGGGTTCCATCATGGATTGAATTTCTGTCTTTCCGTATGTCATCTCTTTGTTACTTTTGATCTATCAGTGCCTTAGTGTGGGTTCTCCAGGGACACAGAACCAGTAGGTTATGGTATGTATGTTACCTAGAGACACAGGAGAGGAAGGATGGATTCAGTACAGGAACTGGCTCACAGGTCACAGCACCTGCAAGTCCCACCAGCTGCTGTCTGCACATGGTGGAGACCCAGGAGAGCCAGTGCTATAATTCTGACCACAGATGCCGGGTTCCCTGTAGCACACCGGGACACCAACTGCTGTGGCCACAACACCCTGAATTTTCAGGTTCACTTCATGGGTTCTTCCCAAGGGCAGAGTCCATGGTCTGAACCTTCTGTTTCTTGGAGGTGCTGGGTGATTGGGGCTCAGGAACATGGGGCACTGGGCAGGTGGGGTTGAGGCCCAGTATCATAATGCACATGGGCCTTGGTGCCAGGAGGGAGGGCACACTCCCAGAGCCCGATGCTCTTCTCCTTGAGCATCAGTGACCACAGGACCGTGTGCCCCCTGGGCTGAGCTCATGTCTAGAGAGAGCTGTAGGTCTGTGCCCTTGGAGAGGCTGAGCCCCAGCCCGTCCAGGAGGACATGACAGCTGGCCTTGCAGACACCTCCTCTTCTCTATCAGACCTCATCTGGCTGACCTAGGACAATGAGCAAGTCCCTTCCTGCTGACCCCAGCTCTTCCTGGGAGACTGCCTGCTTGGTGCTGTGGCCCAGAAGCCCCTCCCTGGGCTGTGACCCTGAGACATCTCAGATTTTTCCCTTCAGGTCCTGATTCTCCTCCTCTTGGGACTGAGCCCTCCCCTGTGAGGTCATAATCATGCACTCCCTGTAGTTAGGGACAGAGGCTAGGAGTCCACCTTCTCTCCACACACTGCCTGTGATCTGTGCCATAAATGACCTAGAGATGCCCACAGCTTCCTGTTAGAACTCCAGCCCCCCCACCCATCTGTTTCTTTGCAAACACAACCTTCCATGAAGCTCCTCTTACCAAACTTTGGACAAAATAACAGTCTGTGTAGTCCATTTGTCTCTGTAGACTTAGGGGCTTTTACTTCTAAGAGAACTGAGCCAACTGGGAGGCAGGTGGGTGCTGAGAACAGCCCAGGGTCACAGGCATACAGGGACACAGAGACAAAGGCATGGTGACTGAGCAGGCTGCCACCTGCCCTGGAGAGCATGGGGAGGGTAGACTAAGTACCCTTTCACTGTGCCAGGTTCCTCTCTGTGCCCACCCCCCCAAGTCATCACATGAAGGTCTCAAGGGAGCTGTATGGTTCTCCTTCTGCACTTGGGAAACCGAAGTGTTTGCATAAGTGTGTTGCTGGGGACTGTCAGCCTGTGGAAGCAGAAGCCAGGCCATTAAGTCTCCCTGCTTATGCTGTCCATGTATTTCTCTCTGTATCTATCTATGTACGTAAGTCTTTATGTATCTATGTTACTATCTAAGTATCAAAGTGTCTATGTGTCTGTCTATGTAACTATTGGTCTATGTATGTATCCATGTAACTTTCAATCTATATATTTATGTATGTACTCATGTATCTGTATGAATATCTATGTATCTAAGTGTGTATATATCTATCTATGGTACATATGTATCCATGTACCTATCATTTTTCTGTCTACCTATCATTTACTTATCTATCCATCTACCTGTCTTCTACTTCTCTATCTACCCACCCATCCCCTCTATCTACATGTTTATCTATCATCTATGTATCTATTCTTTACCTATCTATCATTTATCATCTCTTTGTATCTCCATACACCTATCTTTTTTTAATTTACTTATTTTATTTTAGTCATTGTTCCAGTACAGTTTTCTGCCTTTTCTTCCCATTCCAGCCCACCCACCCATCTCTCCCCACCTGCTTCCCACTTCCACCACCCTAGTTTTTGCCCATGTTTCCTTTATATTTGTTCCTGTAACCCTTCCCATTCTCCCCTGAAATTCCCTCTTCTCTCCCCTCTGGTCACTGTCAGCGTGACCTCTATTTCAGTGACTTTGACTGTGTTTTGCTTGTTTGTTTGTTTTGTTGTTTAGGTTTCTGTTAAAGGTGAGATCATATGGTATTTGTCTTTCACTGCCATGCTTATTTCGCTTAGCATAATGCTTTCCAACTCCAACCATGCTGTGCAAAGGGTAGGAGCTCCTTTCTCGCTGCTGCATAGAATTCCATTGTGTAAATGTACCATAATTTTTGATGCATTCATTTACTGATGGGCACCTAGGTTGCTTCCAGTCCTTAGCTATTGTAAGTGGTGCTGCTATGAACATTGGGGTGCATAAGTTCTTTTGGATTGGTGTTTCAGTGTTCTTAGGATATAGTCCCCACAGTGGAATTGCTGGGTCAAAAGGCAGATCCATTTTTAGTTTTCTGAGGAAGTTCCATACTGCTTTTTATAGTGGTTGTACCAGTCTGCAGTCCCACCAACAGTGCACTAGGGTTCCCTTTTCTCCACAACCTCTCCAACACTTGTTGTTTGTTGCTTTGTTTATGATGGCCATTCTGACTGGTGTGAGGTAGTATCTCATTGTGGTTATAATTTTCATCTCTCTCATAGCTAGTGATATTGAACATCTTTCAATGTGTCTCTGGATCCTGTGTATGTCCTCCTTTGAAAAGTGTCTGTTGAAGTCCTTTGTCCATTTTTTACATTGGGTTGCTTGTTTTCTTAGAGTGTAGTTGTGTAAGTTCTTTATATATTTTGGAGATTAAACCCTTGTCTGCAGTATCATTGGCAAATATGTTTTGCCAATATTGGTTCTCTTTTTATTTTAATACTGTTTTCCTTAGCTGTGCAGAAGCCTTTTATTTTGATGAGATCCCATTTGTTTATTCTTCCCTTTATGTCCCTTGCTCTAGAGGACATGCCAGTAAAAATGTTTCTGTGTAAAATATCTGAGATTTTCCTACCTACGATCTCTAGGACTTTAATGATGTCACAGTTTATATTTAAGTCTTTCATCCACCTTGAATTTATTTTTGTGTAAGGTGTAAATTGGTGCTAAAGTCCATACACCTATCTTTTATTTATATCTCTATCTTTATCCACCTGTGATGCAGTTAATACCATAGGTCTTTAGATTGACATGGGTTCAGCCTGGTTATGAAATATCTCAGTAGAAAAACATGTCAGAAACCAAAACCTGTCTGGGGCCAAGGAGGGAACATTAGAGTTGGGCCTGGGGGCACCCAGACTCAGTTCCTGTGAGACCATGGAAATAAGCCCACAGCATGGACCCTGCACACTTCCCAACCTGTAGGGTTCTGTCTTCCCACCCAGAGGATAGGAACAAAGAGGACGGTGAGAGGCTGGCTATGGAGCACAATACCACCCCCTTCTGGACCTCTGTGAGTTGGAACACAGGGGCAGGACCCCTGGGACAAAAGGGGGGGCATTCAGGTTGGTGTCTGGGCTCCACCTCATTCCAGCCTCTAGTCCAGGACCAGGAGGGCTCTGGGAGAGAGTCAGTCATGCAGGCCCTGCCCACTCTGGGGCACCTGGGCCTGAGTCTCCAGAGGAGGGACTAGGAAGTCCCCTAACTTGTTCTGACCCTGGGAAGGGCCAGGCCCGATACAGAAAGGCCATGGGATTTCTGGGTGACAGATGCTTGAGAACTTGAGTGAAACCCACTACAGAGGAAGGAAGCTGCCCATTGGGAGTCATGCAGATCAGGGTGGTTTGGAAGTTGCAGTGGAGACAAAGCCTTTCCCTGCAGCACACTGATCTTGACCCTCAGTTAAGGAGACTAAACAGTGGACATGTTTACCCTGGGCTTCTCTTGCCACTCTCTTCCTGTGCTGGGTGATCTACACCTAGGAGAGGACTTATTTTTACACAACTAATCCCTCCCACCACAAGAGTGCTCTGACTGGAGTCCTGTGGGTTCCAGGAGGAACTGAACTCTGCTTCAATTTGAGGATTGTTCCTCCCAAGTCTCTCCTGATGGCTGCAAACACTCCCACCATGTCACACTGATCTCCAGAACCCTCAGAGCCAATAAATGCAAAACTGGACCCCTGATTCTCGCCCACTCACACCTGACTCCTTATCAGTCTGGTCCTGTTTTCTCAGTGAGGGTTGAGAGTCCAGCACCAGGGAACACAGTCACCCTAAATTCCCTGTATGTCCCTCCTCATGTCCCTCCATCTGAGATCCTTCTGAGTTCCCTCCACATGTCCGCACATGTCCTCACTTGTTCCACGTCCCTGCTGGGGACTGTGCTCCCAATCTGAGCTCCCTCACTCCCCTCTGCACAGCAGCTATTGGGGTGTTCAGGGGAATCTCCACCCGGCTATGCCACCATAGCCGTGTTCTGTCCTTCAGATGAATTGAGAGAAAATATTGTTGACTCTCCTTTCCATCTGAAACCCTTAACTGGTTGGACTGCAGCCACATCACATCCCTTATCAATGTGGCTTTTCTTGCCGTGTCCACCTCTAGCCACCTTCTGCCCTGCTCTGTCTGACCTTTTATTGCCAGACACATTGGGTTTCTCTC